TTTTGCTTGTAAACCCGGGCTATCTTTTGCCCTATAGCTAGGGTTAACCCGCTTGCTAGGGTAACTCTGCTTCCTTGTAAACAGACCCTTATACAGTTATGTAAACACGGTCCTGCAACAATTATCGGAACTTGAGGTCGGACACGAAATTCAGGAAAGAGGCAACCCGCTCGCGCACGCGCGGCGCGAATGTTATTGTGCAACCTTTCTCTGAGTCATTAGATAGTCAACTTTATTCATGTCACACACTCTATATTTGGATAAGACAATCTCCTTGATAATCTGCAATGAACACAGCAAATAACGTGACTTGCCACCATGTTTGCCATAGTTTGGGGGACTGAGCACGAATACACACGATCCCAGGGTCCTCTGGGTAATATGTTGCGTAAGACTGCAAGATGGCGCATGGCTGGATCGAGATGAGCTTGCTATGAAAATGTCCTGTTGTTCACTGCAAAGACAATCTACATTCATATATCCCATTTTATTTACTATAACCTACATTTTTTCTTCGGGACAAAATGAAAAAAAGGAAAAAAAGATTGGCTTGACTCGTGGTTGACTCGATGTTGACTCGTGACTCGAGGTTGACTTGGGCTTGCGGTTGGCTCGTGTAACACTACGATTCAGGTAAACTTGCATCTCCCATAAAGTGGCAAAACGTGTTCTGAAACTTACTTTTTGACTCCAAAAAGGTTCTCAGGCGTTGGGAAGGGTTTTGTGATTCGCAAACTTCCCAAATTCTGCAGATTTCATGGCGTCTTGTGGCGTTTCGCGGCGTGGTGTCTGGTTTTTTCTCAAATCTCAAGTTACCTTCAGTTGCGTCTTCTCGTTTAAATGGTTTGTAAAATTGATACTCAATTGAAGTCGTTTCGAGGAATATCAAAACCGAGAAACTACGATCAATGCTGGCAACAGAGTAAGACCATGGACACCATTCTATTTCTTTTTGCTGTACATCGCAGCCAAACAAACTTGTTGGATTGACTTAATCATAACTATTAAAAGTTCACTGAGGGCTGCTTCCTCCGGGGGCTTTTATTATTACTAAAGGAAATCACTTTTGCACGCCTTGCGTGCCTATGTTCAATCCGTGTTTTGAGAACGCTGTGGTTTATTGTCTTATTTATAACCAGACTTGGGCTATCCGGCTTAGCCAAAGCTGAGTAAACAGTGATTTGTTTTGAAAGAGGGCTATAAAATAAAACGTCGAAAACAAATTTAGCCCTTTTGCAGAACTCTTGGGAGGCTATTTTTTGTATAAGATAACTTAGATACTACGCGCACTCTGATTGGTCAATGGAGTTGCAAAACCTATGTTCCATTGCACCGGTAAACACACGGTTCCTGACGTGGCAGCTCTACGCAGGAACTAGAGAACTCACAACACTAGAGATAACAAATGTAATAAACAGTTGGAGTTTTCACCGGCTGAGATATTAATACAGTAACACAAATATATTTTCATTCAACATAAAAAAAAAACAGGACTAGAGGTTGGTTTGCATATAACGCTTTATCTTGTTTTCTATGGCAAAAATTTTACGCCGAATCCGATAACGCTCGAGTTTAGAATTAAGGAAGTTTTAAGCGCTTTTTAGTGCTTTCTGCGGTCCGTGGAGGACGAAGTTCTGACCGCTGCCGGGTTACACTGATCAATTTGCAGTGAAATTAATGTTCACCATCTACGCGTATCTTACAAACTGACAACGTGACCAGCTCCCAGTTGGCTTGATAGCTCAGTTGGTAGAGCACTGCACCGGTATCGCAGAGGTCATGGGTTCGAATCCCGTTCAAGCCTAAAATTTTTTCAGGCGTTAATTTCACAACTGCTCAAGTGTATATAACTGCGATGATCAGCCATGTCTTCATATCTTTCTCCGCAGTTCAAATATATGATCTTTCATGTATTCACTTGCATTCTTCACCATCGACGGGTATATCACGAACTCACAACATGATAAGCTCCCAGTTGGCTTCATAGTTTAGTCGCTAGAGCACTGCTCCGGTATCGCAGAGGTCATGGGTTCGAATCCCGTTCAGGCCTGAATTTTGTTCAGGTCTTAATTTCACAACTGCTTAAGTTGTGTGTATAACTGCGATGATCAATCATGTCTTCATATTTCCTCGTTTTGTTTGTACAAGTAGTTCGGTGTGGTGAAATACTTGTTGGTGAATTTCTTAAAGGTTATTGGTTCTCGTAAATGATTAGTATTTTACGGGGACTCCGCTTTCAGGCTTGGCCAAATCTACATGCATCAACCTACATGCACATTATTATTTTCCTTTGTATATTCAGAGCCAGAAAAAATCAAAGGGGCCAAGACGTTGTTTACGACTTCCGTGACATTATGCTGTTAGCGATTGCGTCACGATGTTAGCTGGTTATAAAGCAGTGTATAAGACTGCTTCGAAAAGTTATTCTAAATTGTGCGTGTAGTAAGAGTCTGAGAAGAAAAGGGATGGGTCATCAGTTTTGGATCCCTGTAAAGGGGTGGGTCGTCCAATTTTCAGCTACCCATATGGGTGGGTGGAATATGCACACATTTGACCCAATCGACAACA